GGCTGCATTAATAGGAGCATTGCCAGCAGATCTTCAGCCTGGAGCCCACATCTGGAGTACTGTGTCCAGTTTTGAGCCCCCCGCTACAGAACGGATGTGGACAAATTGGAGAGAATCCAGCAGAGGGCAACAAAAATGATCAGGGAGCTGGGGCACATGACTCATGAGGAGAGGCTGAGGGAACTGGGATTGTTTAGTCTGCAGAAGAGAAGAGTGAGGGGGGATTTGATAGCAGCCTTCAACTACCTGAAGGGGGGTTCCAAAGAGGATGGAGCTCGGCTGTTCTCAGTGGTAGCAGATGACCGAACAAGGAGCCATGGTCTCAAGGTGCAGTGGGGGGAGGTTTAGGTTGGATATTAGGATACACTATTTCACTAGGAGGGTGGTGAAGCACTGGAATGGGTTACCTCGGGAGGTGGTGGAATCTCCTTCCTTAGAGGTTTTTAAGGCCCAGCTTGACAAAGCCCTGGCTGGGGTGATTTAATTGGTGTTGGTCCTGCTTCAAGCAAGGGATTGGACTAGATGACCTTCTAAGGTCTCTTCCAACCCTGATATTCTATGATTCTACTGTTACTGGAGGGTAGATGAGATTTGGCTCTATTTTGGGGACTGTTTGAACCTGACCGGTCTTTGTTGCAAAAGCTGGTGAAGCTTAGCAGCCTTCCGGATTTCTCCTGTGGCAGCTCTCAGAGCCCCAGTCAGGAATGGGCTTGGAGCTGCACAGATAAAGAGAAAGGCACGGTCCATGCCCAGTGATCTTACAATCTAATTAAAGACAGGACACGCCAGGGACATGTAGTACACATTAGAGGGGAGAGGGTACCAGCAAAGGGACGCACGGCTCCATGAACTAGCTGCATACCTCACTTGCCATCTGGCAAGGAATATGGCAGGGCAGAGGAGGGGAGAACAGATTTGCATTTGTGGGGAGGCCCACGTGGCCAGGGGCCTTTCCCCAGGGGCCTGAAAGTATCTCTTTCCAGCCCCACGTGTGCAAAGCTTTGTCAAAATCCAGTTACGTAAATGGGGGGAAATGTAAAGAAGGTGCATTAAGCACACCCCTCCGTGGGAGAGTGTGGCTAGCGGACAGTGGTTAATAGGAGTATTAGATATTCTTCCCTGTCCAGGCAGGCTTTTATTAATCACCTTCCTCTGCTATCTTTGAGCCGCAGGATTAATTCTGGCCCTGGCAATGGGCCGTCTGTTCAGAAGCACACCCGCCAGCCGCTGGGATTTATAAAACCAGCCCCTTCTATTTTCAGCTGTCGCTTAAAACCCCTCGAAGCAGCTCCTGCTTCTGCTCAGCCAGTCCCCGGGGAAGCTCCCGAGCGGAGAGTGCCTGGGAACGTGCGGGACCCTCCAAAGCGCAGCTGCCAAGAAGGTTATAGTTAGAAGCTGATCTTCACTGTCCTGCACACGATTTGTCTCACCCCTCTTCCCCCGAGACCTAGCTCCACATTTATCGGCTACAGCCGCTCACTTCCCACTCCCTGTCTCCCGGGGCAGAATCGTCGGCCCAGCCCAGCTCTGCCCCACCCGCCAGCAGCTGCGTGGAATGCACCGCTGGCTCTGGACAATGGCTAGCAGGTGAGCTCCGTGCCAGGGCTACGGGGACAGCTGACCCCTGGACAGCGGAGTGCAGAAAGGTGACCGGACAGGCCACCTCTGCAGTGAGCAGTGCATTGTGGGACCACAGCGGGAGGGCTGTTTGCACACTTCCTCTCCACCAAGACTCAACTGAGTGACCACTTGTTACTGTTTATGCTCCGTATTGCAGTAACACCTGGGAGCCCAAGCATGGCCCAGGCCCACGTTGTCTGGGCTCTGCACAAAGCCAGAACAAAAAGACAGTCCCTGCCCCAAAGTTTTCCAGGTTGAGTAAATCTAGCTTTGTCCCTGAGTAAGGCTTCACCCCTGGCTGGAATCACTTGATGGACAGGCTGTGAAAAGTTATTTCTGCCCCTTGTCTGCCACATCAACTTATTTATTTGTATGACAGCAGCACCTAGAGACCAGGGTCCCATTGTGCCAGGGGCTGTACGTACACCTAGGCAGCCTCTGCCCCAAGGAGCTAACAATCTAAATGGACAAGACAAAAGGTAGGACGGGAAACAGAGGCACCCCAGCGGGACTTTACTGACAGAGCCAGGGATTGATCAGCGGTCCCCTAGTCTGATGTTCTAGCCACTAGGCAATGCTGCGTCTAGGCGTGCCCAATTAGAGGGTGACCTCTCTGCTGGAGACGAGGCCTCAGCTGTGTTAATGAGGGGGAATAAAAACGAACAGATTGTAGCAGAAACTTCCTCCCAGCCACAAGTCTCCTCCGTACGTCAGGCAGGGAATAATTGCTTCTCAACGCCCCGTTCAGTCTCATGGCATCCAGATCCCGGAGCCCTGGCTCGCCGCACTGACACCTTTGGACAGGGCAAGGTCCTCAACTGCGTGTTTCTGTTGCGACGAAAGCTCGGGGGATAAACGCGATTCAGTCTTGCCTTTTACATGGCGCAGGACAGGACAGAGCTCTGAAGGTCATTCTCGACCCGTTTCCAGGAGAAAATAGGTGCCCATGTGTTTGTACAGCTTGGCCTTCATAAACAGAGAGAAGATTTATGGATCAAAGATAGCTTTGTGTCTTATGAGGGCGAAGGCTCAGTAGCGCCACTGTATTTAGGGCTGGCTCAGCTTTTCCATTCTAAGCCTCTGTGCCAGCCTGTGCCCCCCCCCCCCTTTAAGGGCACAACAATTTGTTTTGGGAAGAGAAACATTTGGGAGTTGAGCTCCTCGATCCTCTGTGGCCTTGGCTGCGCGAGGCTGGCTGGGCATGCCCAAGCGTTCTCCCCGGGAGAGCCGCATGCCCGGTGGTGCGGCTCTTTATTTCTGTAGCCTGGCCGATGAATTGTTCTGCAGCCCGGGAGGGTGGCAGGCGGCGGGGGAAGGTACCGATTTGTGCAGGAGGAGGGCGGGTTGGAGGCACGCTCCTGGGGGTCAGGAACCTGAGGGTCAGGAGCTCCGGGGACTTAGCTGGAGGAAAGGGTGCGCCGGCTCTGTGAAAATCGGGCCCCTGGGCTAGAATCAAACTGTTGCCACCATGTGACCGAGGGCGGTTGTTGTTATTTGTAATAGAGGAGCAACTAGAGGCCCCAGCTGAGCTGCCAGCCCTGCTGTGTCAGGGGCTGCAGAGACACACCATGAGCCACAGTCCCCGCCCCAAAGGGCTCACAGTCTAACTAGCCAACCCATGGGAGAAAGGAAGCGTCATTGTCCCTCTCGGACAGAGGGGAAGCCCAGAGCGGGAAAGTGACTTGCCCAAAGTCACCCAGTGCATCTGTGGCAAAGCCCAGGGTTAAACCAAGAGCTCCTGATTCCCAGCCCAGTGTCCTACCCTCAAGGCTAGCCTTCCTCTCAAAGCATCTAGGGGAGAAAAGCAATCCTCAACACCCTCTGGACTCCAGGCCTTTAGTTGCTGTGCTGCCTCAGTTTACCTAGGTGTGACATGCGGGTAACATTGTCTTCATTAATGCTATCATGTACCTTGAGAACCAGTCAGCCATCACTGTGAGAGCTGGTTCACTCTCCACCTTCCTGCCAAGCTGCTGGGCACATCCCGAATGGACTGAGCAAAGTTCATTGACCCAGATGTTTTTTGGCAAAAAATTCAGATTTGGTGACACCAAAACATTTTGTGAATTTGTATCAATTTCAGCTGAGTCTTGAGCTAACCCCTAAAAACAAACCAAAAAAATCAAAATGTTCAGATATTTTTTCGACTCGAAACAACTTTTTGTTTCAAAATTTCCTTTGTCTTTATTGTTAGAAAATGTAAAAAGAAAAGAAGCGCTCCGTGTTCGACCTGAAACGGATTTTTTCCCAACTTTTTGATTTGCCAAAAATGATGTTTTCGGTTTGCCCCAAAACAATGTTTAAAACCAATTCAGACTTGCTGGTGAACTGAAAAATCCGTCGATCCCTGAGCTCCAATCCCGACCGCGGCGCTTGCCAGGAACAGCCTCATGGCTGCAAAGAGCGGTCTCAGGCCCCAAGGAGGGGGCACATGGAGCAGTGTCTTCTCTCTGTCTCTGCCCCTCCTTCCCAGCAATGGTGACATTCCCTCCTCCTGGAGCCAGGAGACTCCGGAAACATGGCAGTGCCCAAAGTCTGGAGTCCCCGCCAAGGTGCAGCGGAGCCAGCCAGGGCCCAGGGACTGAAAAGCTTGTTCAGGGCATCAGGAACCGTAAATAGTTTGTGCAGTTTGGTTGTGTCCGGTGTTTGGATGGAACTAGAGGCCAGACTCCAAGAGCAGGAAAAATCAGCCAATGGATAAATAGGAGGCTTTGCCTGCGGTCTCTGTGCAACTGGGTAATTTTCAGACTGCTTTTGCTCCGTCCAGCAGGGCCGCAGCGAGTGAGACAGTTAGGAGCCTGCCAAGCTGCCTTGCTCCTCTGCATCAGCTCCTTTGTGCACGGGCTCCATGCTTGCTAGATGGCTGCAGGGGCTGGGAGTACATCATGTCTCGCGGGGTGCTTCCAGCCTGATTTACGTGTCCCAGTGTGGGGGCTAACGGGTCCCGTGCTCCTGGGGTCACCGTCTTTCAGATAAGTCTGGCGGCCCCTCTGGGACCATGTTGTGCAACCATTGAGGTGTGAATCCCGGTGGCCTGGCTAAATTCCAGGAGGTGTAACGCCATTCTGCCTTCCCCACTCCATTGCAGTTTCATCTGGATACAGCACACTTCTCCACTTCCTATTCTAAACCACTGGTGTAGCGTTGCTGTGCCCTGTTAAACAGCTGCTGTGTTCCAATCCAGAGGTGGCTGCATTTCAGCAGTGGATGCAGTTTTTCCTGTCTCTGCTTATGGATTTAGGCACCTTGGGGATGGAAGGCCAGAGAGAGACATGGGAGGTTTTTCCTACCATGGGGCCCAAGCTGATATGAATGGGGACGGAGATCAGATTGAGTGACTCTGCAGGGTTTTGATCCCATTGTTTTTCTCTGCGCTGCAGGTGTTCCCTTTGCCGTCCCTCCCAAGGAAGCAGCCCACAGTGCTTGTGGTGTGTGGTCCCGATCAGAACGGTGCCATCGGCTTGGTGTGCGCGCGGCATTTGCGGGTGTTTGTAAGTATCCTTAACAAATCAATCATCCGCCACCTTTCTTGTGGCTCCTGGGGGTGGGTGGCCCCACGCTGCAATCTCAGTAGCCCTTCTCTGGGCCTGCCGGTGCCCTGACTATCACTTGGCTGGATTCTCTTCTCTTCCCATTGGCGTCAGTGAGCGCGCTCCTGATTAACACGGGTGTAAGCGAGAGGAGACTTGATCCCATGGCCTCTCGATCCATGCTAGCGGCCGGGACAGAGGCAGCTCTTTGGTTCCTCAGCGTAGCTGCCCCTGTTAATTCATTCATCAGAGGTTCTTCACCTGCAGCAGGAGATGCAAGGACGGGGACAGATCCCCGTTCTGCATCACCAGTTGGCACCTGACTCAGATCCGCAGGGCCCAGGGTGAGACACTTAGGGGCTCTTTGGGGGCCCAGGAAACGCTGAGACTATTTCCCAGGGGACAAATTTCCACATGGCAAACTCAACCGGTGCCCCTGGCGGGGCCTGGCACCTCTGTGGGCAGCCCTCGCAGAGAGACCCAGGACTGAGTGGGTCAGAGAGATTAGACCCCTCCCCTTATCTATCCATTCAGAGCTTAGGGGTGGGGGAGGCCCCCGCTTTCACTGTCTCTGGCCACCTGTTCTGCAGACAGGCGCCATTCGCCAGTACTAAAATCCCCTGTAGCAACCTTTCTTTGTTACTGGAGCCCTGGGGCAGCCAGGGAAGGGCCTGGGGGCAGCTAACCTGATCTTGCAATGAGATCCAGAGAGTGGAAGCTAATGCAGTTTGGGGGCTGCATGACATGAGCAGGTCTGATATCCCATCTGCTAGAGGGCAGACATCAGCCTGTGCATTCAATGGGCCCGATTCTCAGCTGCTCCATTCCCACCCTGGGACATGCTGGGGGAGGTGGGACTTCGGGGTGGCTGAGGAGCTGTAGCCACCATTGTGCTTACCATGTTCTGAGCACCCCCACGCTCCCAGAGCGAATGAGAGCAGCCCCAGGGCTGCTCTAATTTGTGCTCTGCTTCCTGTGGCCCCTAGGAATGGGAGGATAACCCTAGTCAGCGTGCTCTCCCCAGTGCCAGGGCTGGTGCAGATCCTTTATGTCCAATGTGCAGAGGCATCCCAGCATGCTCTAGGTGAGACCCCTTGTCTGTACTGCTGCACACAGAGTCCGCCGGGTCCAGCTCTGGGCTAGAAGCCAGTCGCAACACTGCAGGAAATTCAGGAGCCGCTAAACGCTGCCAGAGCTGACTGACAAATAAAGATCAGACAAGCTAAATACAGCAACTCCCAGCGAAAATCCCATGGGAAAGGGTCGGGCAGGGCGCGAGGGAATGGAGCAGAGAAAGCTAAGAATAGCGCAGGCTGCTCCTCCAGAGCCCCGGGCCCCGGTGGCGTGATCCGTCTGACCAGGGCATGTCTCCTAGGGGGCTGGGACAGCGGTTACAGTCAATGCGCTGCAGGATGCGGCCAGGAACGCTGCTGCAATAGACGCATGAGGCTGGTGCTGGGAGCTCGCTAGCTGAGCGGCACTTTCCCAGCTTGGACCAAGGGCTGCCCACCGCTCAGCTGTGCTCCACGCTCTGTGTCCCAGGAGCGCAGCGGTCTCCCTGCCAGATGTCACAGCAGCAGGGAGTTAGGGGGTGTGTGGGGGCGCTGGGGATCGCCCTCCCTGTAAACTCGGGGGTGGCTTGTCTTTCCCGGCTCTCTCACACCCCGGGAAGGGCAGGGGGGATCTGTCCCATGTCATGCTGCAGTCTCTTGTAAGTGCTGTCAGTCGGAGAGGTCCCAGCGTGGTGCAAAGCCAGGCAGGCCCAGCGGCAAACACCGAATGGGAGCAAATGCAGCATCTCCCTGGACGCCTGCTAACGCCACCTGCCTGCCTCTCTTCAGCGCTCCCTGTATTCCAGCAATCAGGGGCAAGAGCACGTCCTGCTCCATTAATCCTGGCTAACTCAGGCTAGAATCATGCCAGGCTCCCAGGGAGGAACCAGCTGGGTCCTGTAACCACGAGCGTCATCCTGCCATTCCTCCACCTGATCCCTGAGGGCCTGTGGGAAGCCCCCAGGAGCCCTCCCAGACAAGCCCCTGGGGCTCTGCCAGCGGGTTAGACCCAGCTCCTTCTTTCAATACAAAGCTCATCCACTTGCCTGCTGCAAACTCGACCCAGAGGCCCATTTCCACGCCCCAGAGAAAAGCCCAGGACCAGCACTGGGCACAGTCAGGAGCCGGTCTGGTGAGAAAAGCACTGCCCCGTGCCCCCGCTTTGAGTGCTCTGCAAAGAGTGATTAAAACCCAACTCCCCTGTGGGGCGCAGGATTCTCCCTGCTCGTCTAATGGGGTGATGGGGCACCGAGAGGCAAAGCGACTTGCCCGAAGTTGCTCAGGGAATTGCATCTTCCAGTGGAACCCAGGAGTCAGCCTGAGTCCCTTCTCTACAGCCACAAGACCACACTTCCCACCCCTCTGGTAGCCATCTGCTGGGCCAGTCATTCCGAGTGGGCCTCCCAGCTGAATAACCCCCCTGCAGCCGTTGGCTTAGTGCCATGGCGGTTCCCGAGCCAGCGCCCACTGGGCTCAGGGCGAGTCTTTCTAGTGATGCCGGGAGCGCTGGACTGGGCCCCGGGAGGAAATGGGGTTTTTTACCCAGGAAAACTTTTGCCCAAATAAATTTGTTCGTCTTTAAGGTGCCACCGGACTCCAGGTTGTTTTTGTGAATACAGACTACCACAGCTACCTCTCTGATACTGGGCCCCAGGAGATTCCCTTTCTGCCTGTGGCCCTTTCAGATGCTGGGGGAGGGGAAGCAGAGGTCCAAAGGTGCTGGATTGCCTGCAGCTGCCAGTCAAGGTGGGGCAGAGGAAGGAAGGGGCTGGGGTGGGAAGAGGCCTTTTGGGTGCAGGTTAAAGTGTTCTCTCCTCCCTCAGGAATACGAGCCGACCATCTTTTACCCCAAGCGGTCCCTGAATTCCCTGTATCGGGATTTCACCACCCAGTGTGAAAAGATGGACATCCCCTTCCTCTCGTACCTGCCGACAGAGGTGAGCGACGCCCCGGTGGCACGGAGCGCGGGGGTGTGTGCGTGCATGCACGCGGTCCCCCTCCCCTTTACTCTGCCCACCCCGCCAGCTGAGCCGTCCCCCATTCAGATCCAGCCCACGCGCTCTCCAGCCACGTGGGAGGCCCCACCAGAAAACCAAACTTAACAGCCAAAGTTCTTCCAGGGTTTAGAGCCGTCACCCCGCAGCAAAGTCTGGCTTGAGCTAGTGCTGGGTGTCGGGGAGCAGGTTTCTGCAGCCTGACGCAGTGGGGGCTTTATAGGCACTGGGGACCTTGGGAGACTTTCAAATGGCCAGTGGGGGCATCCTCGGTGCAGGATTCACCAAGCTGCCGCTGTGCCTAAAGGAAGCGACTTCGGATCATTTCAACTGCGCCGTGCCGAGCTCTCCTTTCCCAAGGGAGCCGGCCCAGGGGGTTTCCCTGATCAGCCCCCGCGAGGCTTTGTCTGGCGGCTGCGCACGGTGGTGCTGCAGGGAGGCAGGTGTGTCCAAGGGCTTACAGAACATCAGGTTTTCAGCTCTTTTTAAAGAGCTCCCCCTAATGGTGTGGGCTGCCTTGCTGCAGCCTGGGCTCTGACTCCAGCCCAGAGCATGGGTGGAGTGAGGGGGATTTGGAAGGGTTTTTTGGCCGTGCCAATCACATGCGTCCAAGCAGAGCCTCTCAGCTCTAACTCTCCTCCGGGCAGGGACTGTCTTTTCTCTCTGTGTTTGTACAGTGCCTAGCACAATGGGGGTGTGGGCCATGCCTGGGTCTCCTAGCGCTATAGTAATACAAATAATTAATAATCCTACTTAGATGCAGTTCTCTCAATACGGGTAAGAAGGAAGGCACAGGGGCTCCTAGGTTAAACCACCCGGGGTCTAATACTGGTGTGAGGGGAACCCAAAAGCTGAGATTATGGGGAAAAGAAGAGTGCAGACTAGATTTGAGGTGTAGTCCGTGCAGAGACAGTTATGGCCTTTTGTTCAGGCATCTGATCCGAGCATCAGGGTTCCAAAAACGCCAAACGGCGAGTGTGATCCGCTCGCTGCTGGAAAAGGAATTACTGAGTCTTATTTCCTACCTTCCCAAACAAACACTGCCAGATATTTTATTTTTTAAACATTGGACTCTGTTAAAGGAATGTGACCTCAAATTACTGTCCTGTGTGGCTCCATTCCACTGTATGGGCAAGAGCACAGTTGCTTTAAAACCCTTTGGGGTTTTGGTCCCAGATTCTGCCGCAGGCTCTGGAAATGCACAGTAGGAGAAGTTTCTAGTTACAGCAACAATAAGATCAAATATGTTCAATTTAAAACCTGTTACAACCTGGCTCCTTTTGGGGGCAGTGTTTTTTTTAAGCTGTGCCATAGAAGTTCAGCATCAGGACAGAAAAAAATAAAAAACCCTGTAAAAATAATTTTTTACGCCCTTGCTTCTGGCCAGCGCACCAGGTTTTCACTCTGACGTCCTAGGTGTTAGCAGCTTTCACTAACCCTCTGGGAGACCAGGCCTGCTAACTTTAATCTTGTGATTTCGTCATTCCGGGAAGCCACCTGTCACTCCAATGCCTGTGGTCAGGCCTTAAAGAGAAACCTCCATGGGAGAACAACGATCGAAAATGACACAGATGAATCAAGCTGGCTTTCTTGCTGCATTCAGAAGTCCGAGCGCTCTCTCTTGCTCTGCCTTTGTCGACATCCCCCAGGGAATGTTCCTCTTCTGTTGTGGGCCCCGGCCATTTGTGATCATTAAAGATCCTCTGGGAATTTTTGTAAGAGCCGGAGTGTGCTGCCCAGACTCCAGGTGTGGCAATTTCCAGCTTGCTTCCCTATAGCCCCCTGCATGGGATTAGTCTTCACTTCCTGGCCTAAACTGCAGAAGCCATGTTGCTACGTGCAGTTAGACAGCTGGAGCCTGATGGTCTTTCATCATGCCTGTTGGATGACACCCAGTCCACTGCTGTCACACCAACCGGGGGCAATGGCTCATGGTTACAGCTTCTAACCGAACCCAGTAGCTGCAGCCACCACCTACCGACACCCCACCCGGCCTGCGGCTAGAGCGCGCATCCTAAGACCGAACAATGCTTGATACAAGCCACATGTGCTTACTTCTCCTGCCGAGCCACTTCCTGAGCCCCCTGCAATAGATATACACTGCCCACAGCTGTTCTCTCTCCATTGCTCTGAGCTGGCTGGACTGTTTGCAGAGGTTGATCTTCAGTGCTGGGCTGGGCAAAAGTTCCCAGCTAATCTGGAAGGCAGCTGGTCCTTTTATCTGCATCCAGGGCATGTTGTAGGGGGACACTTCGCTGAGGGGAGAAGGCTCTGTGAGTTGCTTCTCTTTCTCATTGAATGGTACTGTCAGATGTTAGGGGCTTGCAGCTCTCATGGAGCCAGTGGGCTGACAGCATCTGTTCTGTCTCTATAGGAGTAACAGGGAGAGGGAAAGTGGCCACGGAGAGCTCGGCAGGCAGAGGGGATGGGGCTGTGCCCCAGCAGGAGGGTCTGTACAGGGAGAACATGGGGGAGGGCGGCCAGGACCGTGAGTCAGCAGCCCTGTGCACTGGACCGGGTGCACTCGGTCACCTTGGCCTTTGTGTGCGCGGGAGTCCACAGGGGGCTTATGGGCTGGATGAAGCCTTCCTGCCAGGTGCTGTGAGGCTCGGGCTGGCAGATGGGGGGTTTCTGACTGGGTCCCGTCCCCTCCAGGTCCAGCTGATCAATGACGCCTACAACATGGTGATTGACGCCATCCTGGGAGCCGACGCTGAGCCGGGGGAGGTGAAGGAGCCTTATGCCAGCATCTTAGGCACCCTGAAACAGATCCGGATCCCCATCATCAGCCTGGATGTGCCCTCAGGTGGGGATCCCAGAGCCTCCCCGGGGGGGATCCCCGCATCTCGCCTTATCCTCTCCTATTGGCACTTGCTCTCCCCACCGCGCACCCGAGAGTCCTCAGCCCTGGTTACCCGCCTTTCGCCACATCATGTCCATGTGGCTGCAGGTCTCACCCCCACCAACCACATGATCTTACTTCCCCCTCCCCTTCTGGTCCTCCCAACCCCCTCTCTGTGGTCCCATCCCCTTCCTGCTTGTCCTTTCCTGCCCTTGGAATAGCCAGCAGGATCCGATCCACCAGGCAGCCCTGACCCATCCAGGGATGGTCGTCTTGTCCTCTGGCATGGGGCAGGGCCTTTGTCCTGGGTTGCAAAATGCTGGGCACAGCCAGTCTAACAATACTATTTCCTCAGGAAGGGCTGATCACTAGCCACTCTGGTAAGGACTCCTCCACCTCCCGCTTCTCTCTTGACACCCTCTGCAGCCAGGGACCCCTGGGGTTACTGGTTACATGCTAAGAGCAGCTTCAAGAAGAGCAAACCCCAGGCCAGATCAGTCATGTCATCGTGTGCATAAGAGCAGAGGACGGATAGGACTCCTGGGCTCTGTTCCCAGGTCTGGGAGGGAAGTAAGTTTTCGTGGGATAGCTAGGGAAGGCTGGGAGTCAGGCCTCTTGGATTCTGTTCTCAGGTCTGAGAGAGAAGTGAGGTTTAGTGGGATAGCTAGGGGAGGCTGGGAGTCAGGACTCCTGGGTTCTGTTCTCAGGTCTGGGAGGGAAGTGAGGTTTAGTGGGTTAGTGCCTCAGTTTCCTGTGTAGACCAGGGAACATGGAATGGGGCTCATGAGGCTAAATTTGTACATGTTTGCAAAGGGCCTTGAATTCTGGTGAACTAGGGCAGTGATTCTCAGCCTTTTCCATTCCAGGACCTCCCCTTTAACTGGGACCACACTGGGGCCCTCCCACGCAGCAGTGCAGTGGGGAGCCTGTGACCTGGAGCGCTGAGGAGAGAAGCAGATTATCGGGAGCAAAGCCAGCAGAAAGCACTGCTTGGTCTCTGCTGGGCTAATGAGAGATGTTCAATGGGGTTTGTAGGAGTGGCTGAGCAGGTGGCCCGGGGAGTGCAAATGCTGCCTGTAGGTCTGGGTTCGGATCCTGCCTTGGGGGGCTAGTGAGAAGTGAGTCCACAGTGGGATCCAGCCACAGAGGGATCCATTCACGTTACAAAGCCAATCTGCCGTGTCTTTTGGGGGTGCAGCCGATCGGGACGGGGGGTGTTGTCAGAGGTTGGAGCTGGTGCCTTGCCCAGGGATGAGCTGGAGCGTCAATGGGTGGGCACTTTCCCCACCTGTGTGAAATGAAGGAGGAGGTGGCGCGTGACAGGGATCCACACAAGCAGCTGGATGCTGCGCTGATGCGTGGCACGAAAACAGTCCCTTCTCCTCCCTACAAAAGTGACCTAGCTTCTCCTCGGGGCTCTGACCCTGGGGAGCGTTTGAACCCTGTCTCCTGTGTGCCAGCTTCCCCTATTCCTGGGTGTTCTTTGCTTGCCAGCGGCTCTGGCAGAGCAGCTGAAAGGGAGCTGCCTCGCGTTGCGTTCAAGGCATTTGTAATAAATACTACGCTCCCCGAAGCGAGACATGATGTAATTTCAACACACAGTCGTGTCTGGTGGCCGGGCCTGGTATTGCCATCAGACTGCAGCGAAAACCCCCGCGCAGCCCAGCCAGGGGAAGAACAAACAGGAGCCCTTGAGATGTAAATGTGCAAATTCTCACCCAATGCCAGGGCCTGTGAGGGAGAAGCTGTTCTGGCTCTGCCCGGCCCCGCGTCCCCTAGGCTGGCTGCTGCCGGAGCGGAGGGACACAAGCCTCCCTCTGTTGGTACGGCGCTGCGGAGCTCCGCTGTCTCTTCCACTCAGTCCGGGGGGTTGTGGGTGCAAGACCAGCTGGTGTGGGCAGAGGACCCACTCAGTTCATTAATCTATCGGGTGGGATGTAAATCCGCCATCCTGCTGCTTGGCACTCTGCACCGATTATTTGTTTGTATAGCCCTGGGTGAGGTTGACGGGGCATCGCAGCTCACTGACCCTAGCTGAATTCCATCCTAGGAAGAGGCACTCTGCCTCTCTCTAAATTCCCTGAGTGGCAAAAACTGGATCCGACTTCCTTCTTTGCTTCCTCGCCCGCAGCGTTGCTGTGTGCAGGGCACGCAGCTGCTGAGTTCCACACTAGAAGTGTCTGCATGTCAGGCAGGAGAGACTAGCCAGAGCACAGTGTCCCCGACTGCTCCTGAGGGGCACAAAGGGGCTCTTCACCCAGCTGAGGTGTGATGGGTTTGGTCACAGAACCCCTCTTGGGACTGTTACCTGATGTGCTGAATTTACCTCTGAGCCCGTTTTCCCTGCCAGCTTGGGACTCCAGACCCCTGCCTTGCTGAGCCAGACAAGCCAGCCTGCTGCAACCCAGACCCGGGTCTGTTCCCCGTCCCCAACGCTGCAGACTTTAACCAAAACCTGCTCAGCAGGTGCACAAGGCGGGAATCTTTTGTCTCGCTGGGTTCCCACCCCTCCTTGTAACTGGAAAAGCCCCAGGTTTAAGAGGGATTCGAGTGTCAGGTGACACGTTCACATGTCCTGTGAGACCCCCTCCATTCTTCCAGGGCTGGCCCGCACCTATGCAGAAAGGCTTGCAGGTAAAGAAACCATTTACAACCAATTGTCCTAGTCAATGGGAGCCAATGAGATTCTAACCCACAATAGGACCTCAGAGTTATACTTCATATTCCTAGTTTCAGACACAAGACTGATAAATTCACACAAATAGGAGGAACACACTCAGTAGATCATAGGCTTTGTAACGATACTTTACAAGAGAACTTTTGCATAAAGCATATTCCAGTTACATCATATTCACACTTATCAGCGTGTTTTTATAAAGGAGATGGAGTGCAACGTCCCGTGGCCCTGGGCAGGTGCGTGAGCTCTGGGCACTCCTGTTAGTGACACGGGGGGGAAAGGCAGACGTAGGAATGAGTCTCCCCTTTCCCCACCTAACTCCTCCCTCCCTGTCAATGCCGTTCAGACACACCTTGCTGCGGCTTGCCTCTGACCTTTCCTTTCTCTCCTTTGCCACGGCAGGGTGGGACGTGGAGACGGGAAACAGCGAGGGAATCAGCCCTGACATCCTCGTCTCCTTGACCGCGCCCAAGCAATGCGCAACCCGCTTCCTGGGCAGGCACCACTTCCTCGCTGGCCGCTTCCTGCCCTACGATGTGCAGAAGAAATTTGAGCTCAACCTGCCCGAATACTCAGGCACAGAGTGTGTGGTTTCGCTTTAAGGTTCTGGGGGAAGCGGGGGCGGGGAGGGGAGTTGGGGGTGGGGAGAGAGGAAAAGCCACCCAGCTCCTTCAGAATAAAAAGGCTTCAAAGCGTTTTGTATTTTTTGAGCAGCTGGGTGACTCCCTGCTGGGATACTGTGTCCGGGCAGCAGGGCCTGGCTTCCCATCCAGAGGGCATGCAGCTCCCAGGGAGGGCGTCTGCTGGCAGGAGGTCCTTGGGCACCTCAGGCCACCGTGACCAAGCCTTCATGTTGATCATTTAAACTCGGGGGGGTGCCCAGGGGATCAAAGGCAGCACTGAACCGAACCCCTCTCCTCCCATGGGTCCCACACCCCCAGCGTCTCAGCCCAGGCCGCGGGGTTGAATTGTGGAGTCACAGGGGCAACTGTGTCATTTTGTGGCAGGGTGAGGAAGGCCGGGTGGCTTGTTCCTGCCAGGAGCTCAGATACCCCAGCAATGGGCACCCATGTAAGCGCCTTGCTGAATAGGTCCCTCCAAGATGAATTGTCTCCCAAAGGCAGGTGGGGGATGTACGGCAGGAAGAAACATGCGCTCAGCCCCTGGCAGGACAGGCCCAGCTGACCTCATAGGCCTTTCCCATCACTCACTGCCCTGATCCACGTGTTGGGATTTCTCAGTGCCCTTTTCGCAGGAATCCTTTGTGAACAGGAGCCTGCTCTGTAGCCAACCAGTTGGCAGGTTGCTGCTGCCGTGAGCCGAGGAAAGAGCAGAGAGAGGCAGGATCAGGAGGCGATTTCCTACTTCTCGCCCCGTGGGCCTCAGCTGCTGCTCTTGTCGGCGATCTGCCCGCATGTGGAAAGGGAAGGAAATGACCTCCCTCTGCACTTGCTGTAACTGCCCAGCTGCCCCTCAGCCAGAGAACAGGGCTGTCCTTGGGCTGCGGCCTGGTGTGCTCTGGACATTGGGCCTAGAAGGTTTCTGTGTTGCTCTCCCCGAGCTGCCAAGAGCTAGGGGTCACTGAGCCGCCTCGGAGCTGGGGGAATGGCTGGGTGGCCATCGCCCAAGGGGTAACCACCGAGGAAGGCCGTGGGTTCACGGGGTAGTCAGCACTGCCCTGCTTAGCAGGTGTCCCCCAGCGCTGGCTCAGTGCAGTGATGGGGGCGGGGGTCCAGCGCATGTCACTAGCAAAGGATTCCCCTAGAGGTAACAGGCACCCAGGCTAGCCCCATGGCCAGCAGGCTAACTCCCGGAGGCAACAGCGATTTGGGCAGCTCCCCAGTGAATCCTGCCCGAAGCGGTGGCCGGTGCTGTTCCTAGCCTGGCTGCTTTGCCATGCGGGGAGAAGCCTGCATTTTTCTGCAGATCAGTGAAATCTCCAGGGGCCAGATGCACCCCCTCCCTGCCCCCACATCGTCTTCCACCTGTTCTGAGCTAAAGCTCTTGGTGGCCACTCCGTTTGCACCAGCTCCTGGTTCCCAGGTGCAGCAAAACGACAAAGCAGTGCTTAGGTGGTAGCGTTCCCTTTCCCCGTGGAAACTCCCTTGGGTGCAAACTCCCCTGGGTGCAAACTCCCCTGGGAACTGGCCCGGCGAGTGTTCTCTGAAGTAGGAAGCACAGTAGGCTGGATGAGACCGATTTTATTACAAGGGCTTAGTAGCTGTTAGCAGCCCTGCCTCCCTCCCTGTACTGTTAGCAAGACCCAGCGAGAGAGGGGGACCTACTGCTGTTTACGCAGCAAACCCTCCATCCCAGCTCAGCTTGTTCCATTTATGTTGGTACATTTCTTCTTTGGGGAGCTGGAGTTTGTATGACACGGGAGCATTGATGCTGAGTGAGAGCATGGCTCAGTCTTGGGAAGCTCACGCAGCGTACTGCCCGGTCCAGGGGGCTGCACAGCCTCCCCAAATCTGGCCCAATATGCTGCCTTGGGGCCCTCGTGTCATAGAGTCCCTGGGCAATGCTCTGGAACTGCTCCCCATGAAGCCAGTCAGGACTCTGGGGCAGTCGCCTTTCTGTGAGCAGCCTGTCTTCAGGACACACAGCTCACCCGGCTTCCACCTTCCTGGGTCTGACCTCGGAGCATTCAGCGTCCTCTGCCCCTCCGTGTGCTTCCCACAGCGAGTCCACTCAGGCGGGGCTCCTGGGGAAGCCAGAGGGTCCTGCCCCCCAACTCCGCAGTCAGACCTGACTCTCAGCCAGCCAGTAAAACAGAGGTTTATTAGACTACAGGAACATGGTCTAAAACAGAGCTTGCAGGTGCAGAGAACCGGATCCCTCAGCTGGGTCCATTTTGGGGGGTAGTGAGCCAGACAACCCCGTCTGCCCTTCTTTCCATGTCTCCATCCAGACCCAAACTGAAGCTCCCTCCAGCCCCTCCTCCCCTGGGCTTTGTTCCTTTCCCAGGCCAGGAGGTCACCTGATTCCTTTGTTCTCCAACCCTTTAGCTCTCACCTTGCAGGGGGGGAAGGGCCCAGGCCATCAGTTGCCAGGAAACAGGGTGTTGGCCATTCTCTGTGTCTAGAACCCTGCACACACCTGCCCTCTAGGGCTCTGCAATGATCATACACCCTTACCCCACCACCTAGATACTTAAGAACTGCATAGGGGAAACTGAGGCACCCCCACACTATTCAGAGGAAACATTAAGAACAGTCCCACTTCGTCACACCTCGGTGCCAGCAGATAACATAAGAACATAAGAATGGCCCTACTAGGTCAGACCAAAGGTCCATCTAGCCCAGTGTCCTGTTTTCCGACAGCAGCCAGTGCCAGGTGTCCCAGAGGGAGTGACCAGACCAGGGAATCATCAAGTGACCCATTGCCTGTCACCCATTCCCAGCTTCTGGCAAACAGAGGCCAGGGGCACCAAGGCAGCAGGACCTGCCCCCGCCCACCCTCCCATAGCATTTAAGGTGGGGTCTGGGGTGAGTCACACATGGCCTGATTCTCCACCAGGGCAGCTAAGCAGAATTTTGTCGAAGCAAGATCAAGGCCAGAGCCTCCCTACAGCTTCCTTCTCCCCACGCACATGAGGCAAGCGACTTGCTTCGATGGCCCCTAGTGGCTCCGCAGGGCCACAGCTCTGGCCTGGTTATGCTCCAGGATGCTTTGGCCACTCCCCACATGGACTCTGGTTTGTCTGATGGAGGCCCTGTGGCACTGTCTGGACACTGATTTTCCAGCTCCTGCCTTTACCTCCCCTGACCTGAGCATGCCACTGATCCACAAACGGGAGGCCCACGACCCGCTGTGCTCTGCCAACCCTGCCGCCTGCTGAGGTCACGCAAGGTAAGCTGCAGGCTGGGCAGGGCGAGCCAGGGGAATCGTGTGTGTGTGTGTGTGTGTGTGTGTAGACAGTGATATGCTCTTTTAATGAGGATTATCCAAGTCAGTCCGCCCCGCAGGGGGAACTGAACGGACTAGAGAATCCGGGCCAGGCATTGTGTGGTGGAGCACAGCGGGGCAGGTGGCTCCCTTGGGATTTGTTCCTGCGGGTGTTGAATGTTTCTGTGTCTCTGGGCTCCTGGAGCTTTGTCGTTTGTGTGCAAACAGAGAGCCAGGGGAGAATGCTGCTAATAAAGATGGGCTTGGAACCGACCCAAGGTGCCTGGGCTTTTTATTCAGCATGTCAGCTGGGTGTTAAGAGCTGTCTGGGGCCCTTAAGACAGCACAGGGCTGTCATTTCCACCCGGGCTGGTTTTCGTTGTCTTTTTGCCTCCGCTCGAGCATGATGAATCCATTACCAAACTGGGGCTGTGGATGGGGAACAATTGGGTCACCTCCCAGGCTGTACGTAGGCTGCCGTTTGAAATCCTGCCAAAGTCAAAGCAATGCGCCTTAGCCTCTGCTCAGCCCTGGCAACCCCAAGGCTGCTCTAACCTTGCAGGTCAGGTCGCAAGTGGTGCTTAGACACTGAAAGAACCTGGTCCCTGGTGTTGCCAGAAGGCCGAGTGATCGTGGAGAGGGTTGTTAACCAGTCAGTCCCATCTCTGTGAAATGCATCATCTCCAGACACCTCCTGAGCTTGTGCATCTGCAGAAGGGGGCTACTCCATCTTGTTGCCCCCCGCCAAGTGGTAGCAGGTGCTGAGGCCTTGCAGGCTGGTTTCCTACTGGAGGAAAAAGGTCTATCTCCTGGGCTTGCAGGGGTGCTGGCTGTTATGCCCCAGTCCCTGCCCGGCGCTCTGCCCCTCAGCCTGTTGGATTGGGTTTGATTCCTTGGAGCTTTGCGGAACAGGAGCGATTCCCCCGGCACCGTGGGGTTTTTTTTTTAAAGTGCAGTTTCCTCTCAGGAACCCGACGACAGGCTCCTGGTGGCATCAGAGAGATTCACAGCCCTTAAGGCCAACTGGGTCACCAAGTCCCACAGGCCAACAAACTGTACCCGGGATTCCTGCATCCCGCCCAACAGAAGGGAGTGTCACTTTTTGAGAACTGCCCCGTGCTGGTTTGAAGATGCCAAGGGACAGAGAAACCAGTTTAATTACCCTCCCTGTTTAAAAGGCGCATCTTACCCCCAGTGCGAATGGAGAACAAACCCTCTGATGTGGGCCGGAGTGACGCCCACTCAGGCGTGGACTGCCGCCCCCGAGGGTGCCCCGTTGTGCCCAGGGTTGAGCTCTCCACCAGCCTGCTAATGCCACTTCCTTCCCCCTGGCCTTCCTCTTCGCCCTGGGCCCGGGGGCGGGAAGCACCGTCTGGGCAAAGCAGGTATCTAATTGTGTCACTGGCGAGTGACCGCATCACCAGTCCTGCCAGGCGGGCGCTGCCTGGGCACGGAACGACCTCACTCCTCGGGAGCGGACAGAGTGGGGGAGGAGTGGGAACCGTCTTCTGCCGGTGAGAGACGCAAGCTTGGGCGCTCCCCAGAGCTCTCCCGCAGGGCTGGGACACGGGCACTGTGTCACCGGGCGGAGCCGCTTGTTTAGTGTAAGGGGTGAAAATGTCTCTCAAGGGACCATTGCTGGAGAAGTGGCCGGTTAACCCCCCTCCAGTGATGGGGGGAAAGGAAGGAGGGAGGGAAAGGGGGTGTGTGTGGATAGTGCAGTCCATGATCATTAGTGTCTACCAAAGTTTATGCATTTAAGCTCTCAGGCTTGTCTTTTGAAGGCCCTGGGCAGGTTCCCTTTGACTGCTCCGGCCCTACAGAGCCATCGCTTTGTGAGACGCCTTGGGCCAGGGGTGACAGGGTGTTTCCGGCTGTTATCCTTTGCCTGTGTAGGTTCACTGGGGCGGGGGGGGGGGTTGTGATTGTCTGGTTTCACGCAGTGTGCTGGACGAAGTGCGCCCCACCTTGTGCCAGGCGTGTGTGGGACCCATGGGTCTCCAAAGGTGGGGGGTGCTGGGGGGGGGGTGTTTCTGATCAGACCTCGACAGCTTTTGCATCTCTTGTCCTGGCAGGGGCTGGGTTGAGTTGGTGGGACCTGGGCCGCTGTAGGTTCCAATCCACAAACCCAGAGCCAGTTTTAGCGCCTTTGCAAAGCCACGGCCCCCTTCTCCCCAGGGTCCGCAGCCCCGCGCCTGGCCAAACCTCGCCAGCGGGGCTTTTCCCTCCCCTTTCCTCTTGACACCTTTCCAGCCCCAGCCGCGCCGACAAACCCCGACGGCCAGTGTCCGATTTCTCCTGCCAGAGCGGGATCCCAGCGCAAACCAATGGTGGAGGGAGCGGGGGACAGGCCTCCTATATAGCCCGGAGACTCCGCTGTGCTCCCAGTCCGCCCCGAGCCGGCTCCAGGAGCGCCCCGCCCCGCGCAGCCGGAGCTCCCGGAGGAGGGTTATTCGGAGCCCGGCGCAGCGGGATGGTGCCACTCACGCCGGCCCTGCTGCTCTTCGCCGCCAGCCTGGCCCTGGCCCTGGCCCTGGCCCCGGCCCGAGGTAAGGCTGGTGCCCTGGGGGGTGAGCCGCGGCGGGGGCCCGCAGGTCCCTGCGCCGCCGGGGGCAGCCCCAGGTGAGCCGGCTCCGGGGAGAAGCCCCCCACCTGGCCGCTGCGCCCCCAGCGCACTGGGCTGCCTGTCTCCTGGGGTCTCGCAGCGCGGCCCGGCTGGGGAACCCCCGGACCCTGGCTGGGCTGGGGCGGGGGCACAGCCGGGGAGACCCCCTGCCCCTCCCGCCCTCGGCTCGCTGCTCCCCGCCCCCCATTCACAGTGTGGCCGCCCGGGCTGCCCAGAGAAGGGAGCTGCTAGCGCCGGGACGCCTGGGTTCCCTGGCTGGTTCTGTCGCTGACTTGCTGCATGTGTGACGTGACCTCCGGGGAATCCCTGGCCGCTGCCCGGCTCCCCGGGTGTCTCGCCGCTCCCTCGGCAGGGGCAGGGCGGGGAAGCCGACCCGGGGAGAGCCCGGGCTGCACCGAGTGTGCATGCAAAGCGCGGCGAGGTTAGAAACACAAAATTCCCCCCTCCCGCATCACCAGGGGGCTTCCCTAGCCAGCTGGGGGTTGCATCGGCTTAGACCCAGCCACTGGCGGGGTCACTCCCTTCACCCCAACACCCGCAGGGGCAATATTGGCCCCCCATCTCTGCACCCCACCCTCACCCCTGTGCCTGGCTCTTAGCTTCCCTGCCCCTGCAGATCGGCTGGTGGGTGAGTGCTGGGTGCACGGAGGTACCGTGGCTGGCTGGGGGGCCCTTGTGGCTAGTGGCCTCTGGCTTGCTGGGCCTTGGGGAGCTCTCGGGGAGGCTTCACGCTTGGTGGTGGGGAGTTGAGTCAACTGACACAATAGGGCCCGGTAGGGGAACGACCTGCTCCGCAGGTTCCAGTGACCCCCAATTTCTGCTCCTCGCCCAAGCTTGGCATGACCCCAGTAGAGACGCTGGGCACAGCCCAAGCCCTGAGTGATAGCCCCCCAGCTGCTGCTCCCCCCAAGCACCTGCCTCCCAGACAAGACTTTCGCCTCCCAGGAGGAGTCTCCATGCTGCAGCTTCCCCCAGCCCCTCAATATACTGGGGAAGAGCCAGGACCTGCCCGGGGGTCAGGGGGCTCCTGTGCAGCGCTGACTTATGTGAGGTTGATTTTACAGTCATGACTGTGGTTTTTCATGTCCAGGTCACCCAAACGACATCGCCCTAAGCCCGATGCCTCTTGGCGAGGTGGATTCGCTAGGTCTGCAAAGCGGGCGAGTTACAGCAGTGCGAGGGAGGCTGTAGTGTGGACGCTTACATAGTTAGGTTGACGTAAGCTGCCTTATGTCGACTTGGCTTTGTAGCGTAGACATGAGTGTGCCCGGAGAGCTCCTGGGCATATACCTTGGGAGATCCCCAGCACAGCACCTTCCTGCTCTGCCAGCAGTGTGCGGCAGGGCGACCATATTTCCCAAAGAGAAAACAGGACACCCCCAGCTGCTTGCCTGAGGCCCCCTCACCTCGCCTGTGGCCGTTGCCCATGGCTGGAACACTGCCTACCCAGCCCAGTCCTGCCCCCCCCACCTGCGAGTGACTGGCGTCTCCGTTCACACCCCCTCTCCCCGGCATGCTCCTTCGCACTCCACCTGGCTTCTTTTTCGCAAAAGTCGGCATCTGTCCTGTTTGCTCTTGTCAGCTGATCCAGTCGGCAAGAGCAGGGACAAATGCCTCCTTATGAGGAGAAAAGGGAAAAAAAAAAAAAAAAAACCCAGGACAGGACTAAAAAAAAGGGACCGTCCCAGCTGAAACCAGATGTATGGTCCCCCTAGAGTGTGGGAATGGAAATATGCATGGGGAAATGGGCTTTTCCTCCATTATTTAGCACTGATCCCGGTAATCTGCTGGCATGAGGGCAGGGGCCAGGTGGCTCCTGAGGTCAGGGCTTGATGGTGCAGAAGACCCTATCACCCCCTGTTGGAGACTGGGGGTCATTTTGGAACTCAGTTTTAAACAGAGATTCAGACTGGGGCCAGTTTGACTGACAGACAGACAGAGACTGACCGACGGACTGACACACACACGCACGCATCTGAAGAAGTGGGTTTTTACCCACAAAAGCTTATGCCCAAATAAATCTGTTAGTCTTTAAGGTGCCACCGGACTCCTTGTTGTTTTTTGTGGATACAGACTATCACATAGAGTGTGTGTGTGTATATACTGAGTCCTCACTCTCTGCATTCCTTTAACACCTTGCACACAGACACAGACTCCTAACCATCCATTTGCAAGGGACCCACATTCCCTGGGTTACCTCCCTCATGGTTCAGAGCCGGATCAGTTGTGTTTCAAACCTCTCTGGTTCCTACTGGACACAAGCCCAGAGAAATTGGTGTTTGGAGGCTTCCCGCAGCAGGGACACCGGGCAGAACCATTAGTGAACCCAGCCTGGGGCCTGTGATGTGTAATAAACAAAGGATCCATTGATTGTTCACCCCTCATAGCTCCCTTTGCTCCCCTGGGCGAGGTCTTTTCTGTTCTTCTCTCCTGCCAGGGGAAGAGGGGTGAATTGTATGGTGCATGCCACCTGCAATCGGGACCTGCATTGTGCCCTTCAGATGCCATCTGCTGCACAGTTGTGTCCACCAGACTCCCCCTACCCCCATGGGAAGGGGGGCTCCAGCCCAGTTCAGTGTGGGGGGACACATGAGCACAGTATCACTTATACACACCACTGGGAGGCAGAAATAGACCCGCCCCTTCCCATCCCAAAAAATCAAGAGCCAAACAATTTGTTGGCAGGGAGATTCCGCCCAGATGAAATTAACAAGCAGCCAAGGGGGCTCGGGAGAGAGAATGCCACCCTCTGAGGTACAGCTCACTTCATCGGATGCATACTGTGGAAACTGCAGAAGACATTATATATACTGCAGTTTCCACGGTATGCATCCGATGAAGTGAGCTGTAGCTCACGAAAGCTCGTGCTCAAATAAATTGGTTAGTCTCTAAGGTGCCACAAGTACTCCTTTTCTTTTTGCGAATACAGACTAACACGGCTGTTACTCTGAAACCCTCTGAGGGTTATTTTCGCATCAGCAGCCTTGGCTCATCTTATCGCACGAGCCTGTTGGCCTTTGAAGTCCAACTCATTGCAGGTTCCCAGCCTGTTCGCCGGCTTCGGTGTAAATCTGGAGTTACCCCATCGACTCGCATAGAGCGGCTCTGGATTTGTGCTGGTGCAGTTGAAATCAGAATCCAGCCCTATCTCTCTGATCCATTTTCGAGGAGGCCTCACTCCTGTTCAGCCCTTGGGCTGCGTTCCTGCTTTGATCAGCACAACCTCCGAACCGTCAGGGCCACAGATCCCATCACTTACAGGAACCCGCCTTTCCCGCCAATATCGGCCCAATAGCTCCAGCCCTGCATCTCTCAGACGTTCCAGATTCTCGAGCACTTATTCACAGTCAAAAACCTTCACAATCTCCTTATCCTTATGATAAAAGGTATTGACAAGGCTGCTCGGCCCATACAGTGACTTTGTGTGCCTATTGGGAGCAGCTGGCAGAGAATGCTGGGCCTTGGGGGCAGGAAGGCAGCGTGTGGGCTGGGAGTGACTATTATTTCGCTTTAGATTGAAATAAACGTTTCATGCCTCCTGACCCCCAGCCGGGAGTCATGACAGCCCTGGGGTCACAACCCATCAGCTGAGAACCACCCGTCTAGACAGACGGGTCCCCGCTGTGGGAGCCGTTGTGTCTTTTACAGTTAGATCACTGAGGAGCCCCTTCTCCAGTTGGGCAGGTTTTGGAGTTTGTACGCAATACAAAGGCCCTTGGGAACAGGTCCTTCCTTTCTGTCAGGACTTCCCGCTCGCAGAGATTTAGTAGCAAGTGCCGGCGCGCAGGGATGGGATGAAGTCAGAATCTTTTGACAGAAGCTTTGTCTTTGGCAAACCCCGACAGGTTGAAGCCCAGACTTCTCCTGGGGAAGGGTCCGTTTGGGACACATTTTTCAGCTTACAAGTTTGTTTTCGTTAAAAGATTTGTAATTGTGAGCCCCGTTTTCGAAATGAACGAGTGTCCAGCGTGAAGTGACTTTGGGTGTCAAGGCTTCAGCTCATTATAGTGAAAAGGGGGGGAAAGTCAAAGTCAAACCAGTGTTTTGAAATGATTGGAACAAACTCTCAGCTTGTTTTTTATTCTTATTTCTGGCTCACAAAATTTTCTGAGGTTTCCGCTTTTTGCCTTGATTCGGGACAGGGACATTTTTTTTTCAATCGCTTGAAAATGTTCCCAGGATGAGAGACAAGGTGGGTGGGGTCATATCTCTTGTTGGACCCACTTCTGTGCAGTTTCCTGCCCAGCTCCAATACCCGGGGGTCAGGGCCCTCCAGAGAACGTGACAAACCATTGCAACTGCTCATCAGATCAACGAGCCAAATACATTTAGCCATGCGTTCTGACGGACTGCAGGTGCTGCATTAGCCCTGGGGAGCCCCGGCCCTACCAGGGCCACCTTGTGCCTGGCGCTGTACGAACAAGTCTCAACTGTTGTTATGAAACCAACCTTTTGTTTATTCGCTGTGGCGAAATCCAGCAATTCAGAAGGGCCCTGTGCTCATAATGGTTCTCTGGGCCAGTGGAGGAGGGGCCTGGCATGGGGCAGTGGGGTGGAGCAGAGGAGGGGGATACAAACACTTCCATCGTGTGATTCTTTCAACAGAGCCCCTGAAGGATGATTCCCGACCGGCCAAGGCCAATGTGCTGGGGAAACACCAGAAAAAGAGGCCTGGTGGAAAGCCTCTCAGCGGGGACACAGCAGGTGCGGTGCCGTCCATAGCTGGCCCTGTTTGCAGGTTCACTGCCTGCCCTGTTATGAAGTAACCAAATGCCATGGTCAGGGGGGATGGCAGAGTACAAACCTGCAGGTTGGGATTGGGGTGGGGGGGGGGGAGCACCAGCTGGGCTAGTGGGGCAGTCCAGGGCTGGGCTAGCAGGGGGCTGTGGGTTGGGACTGGGGGGCACCGGCAGACCTGTCGAGGCAGCCCAGGGCTGGGCTGGGAGGGTGTCCCGGCGTCCCCGGGCGATGCTCTGGGACTGCTCCCCATGAAGCCAGTCAGGACTCTGGGGAAGTCTCCTCTCTGGGAGCAGCCTGTCTGCAGGACACACAGCTCACCCGGCTTCCCCCTTCCTGGGTCTGACCTCGGAGCATTCAGCCTCCTCTGCCCCTCCGTGCGCTTCCCCCAGCGAGTCCGCTCAGGCGGGGTCCTGGGGAAGCCAGAGGGTCCTGCCCCCCAACTCCGCAGTCAGACGGGACTCTCAGCCAGCCAGTAAAACAGAAGGTTTATTAGATGACAGGAACATGGTCTAAAACAGAGCTTGTAGGTGCAGAGAACAGGACCCCTCAGCCGGGTCCATGTTGGGGGTCAGTGAGCCAGACAACCACGTCTGCACTTCACTCCATGTCCCAGCCAGCCCCAAACTGAAACTCCCTCCAGCCCCCCTTCCTCTGGGCTTTGTCCCTTTCCCGGGCCAGGAGGTCACCTGATTCCTTTGTTCTCCAACCCTTTAGCTCTCACCTTGCAGGGGGGAAGGGCCCAGGCCATCAGTTGCCAGGAAACAGGGTGTCGGCCATCCTCTGTGTCCAGACTCCTGCACACACCTGCCCTCTAGGGCTCTGCAGTGATTATACACCCTTACCCCACCCCCTAGATACTTAAGAACTGCATAGGGGAAACTGAGGCACCCCCACACTATTCAGAGGTAACATTAAGAACAGTCCCACTTCATCACACAGGGGGCTGTGGGTTGGGATTGGGGGCACCGGCAAAGCAGCAATATCCCCTCCCTTTCAATTCATAAAATATTTTTAAATAATTTTAAAAAGAATAACTGCAGCTTAAAGGCCCCGGATCCGAAAGCCCAGACGGGTCCTGACTCCTGGCTTTAGCAAATCCCTCGGGATGGTGCCAGCTGAGGCCCCCCGCCCCACTCCAGTCCTCCAGGATCTGTGATGGCAAGATGCAAAGGGGGTGCAGCTGGCCTGCAGGTGGCCCCATGTCCCCTAGCCATTGCGGTGATGTGTGGCGCGTAGACAGAGTGCGCTGTTTATTGTCTGTGTCCCCTGGCATGGAGGAGCTGTGGAGCTGGGGCCAGCGCAGGAGCCATGGGTCAGCAATGTGTCCGTTCAGTAAAAAAAATTGAGGTCTGTGGTAATTTTTCAAGAAATGGAATGACTGAATGACATAACACCCAGCCAATGTCCTCACTAAGTCCGGTAATTTTGTCAAGTGTCCATCACACAACTGCAGACCCCTGCACGGGATCACTGGTGCTAGGGGCTGTTCAAACAAAAAGCCAGGCCCTGCCCCAATGAGTTCTCGAATAGCCCCGCGAAGAGGCAATTTGCTGCTATAAACTGAACCACGGAAGAAGCCTGGACTGAAGCATCCATCCTGGAGGGTGGTAACTGACAGGGGCATTGGGCACGGATACCCAGAGGGGCAGAGCCCAGGCAGGCCACTGAGCTGGTGCACAGGGTGATGGCAGCTGCTGTGGGGAGCACAGCTGCCTGCCAGGCTGGTGAGAGAGCCAGCAAACATACGGGCTTTGACCTAGAGCAGGGACAATTAAAACCAGCCCTGATCCGGCAAAAGGCCAAGAAATCAGCCAGGCTGGAACAAGCCAGTGGCCCATCTATCCGGGGCCCTGGCGCTGCCTAGCTGTTGCACCTGGTAGGGTGGCCTTATACCTCGGGGGGGGGGGGATTCCTTCCTGATGCAAGTGGGGAATCTGACCTGAAGCATGACGATCAACCACCCTCACCCGCAAGCTCCGAGCGGGATAACCATGGCTTCCTTTCCCTGCCCCCTAGGCGCCACTGAGTGGACCTCCTGGTTCAATGTGGACCACCCTGGCGGGGAGGGCGATTACGAGAGCCTGGAGGCCGTCCGCTTCTACTACCGGAAGCGGGTGTGCACCCGGCCAGTCTCCATCCAAGCCCGCACCACCGAGTGGGAGCTGCCTGAGGATGTGGGCGAGATCGTGCACTACAGCCCCGAGAAGGGATTCTGGTGCATCAACCGGGAGCAGCCGGGGGGCAGAACTTGCTCCAACTACCACGTCCGCTTCCTGTGCCCCGTGGGTGAGTGAGTGTCTTGGGGAGGGGGAGGGGGCTGGCTCTGAGGGTCACCAGGCAGTGCCACCTCCAGATCCCTGGTCTCATGGGTGTTGAGCCCCGCCACCCTGCCGTTTTGTGTCAGCCTAGGGCGGTCCCACGGGTGCTGGGCCCTTCCACTCTTCATTGTCAGTCCCTGGTGCTTCACCCCGTCCCAGTGATGCGCGAGGCCCAGGCTGCCCTGCCCTCCCTCCTGACCCCTGTGCCCTGAAGGCTGAGGACCCTTCTGCCAGCCGGGTGTCTTGAGAGAACGGTTACTCACCATGAAATTATTCCATCGGGATTCTCTGCCCTGGGCGCTTCCCCGCAGTAACCCCTCTTGTCTCCCTGGCCTCCCCAGAGCACGACGACTGGTCGCACTGGTCAGCCTGGAGCGCCTGTTCCAGAACCGCCTGCGGGGGCAGCGGGCTCCAGACCCGACAGCGCAGCTGCCTCAACAGCCAGCCCCTGTCGCTGCTGCAGCTGCCCAAGTGTGCAGGGAAAGCCACGCAGCGGAGGGGGTGCAGCGGTGGGCCCTGCGCAGGTAACGGGTCGTGGTGCTGCTGGGCGACCCAGGGGGGCTTGTGCGTGGGTCCGGGTCCTGGTCCCGTGATCCGAGCTCAGCCCTCGGGTTCACCATGGGGCCGGCTGGCCGCAGCGTGAGGCCTGGGCACTCCCGGCTCGCTGGGGGCACCGATCGTTCGTGGTGAGAGAAACGCGCTGGATGGACAGCGAGGCCCCAGCAGGGTTGTCAGCCTCCCACCAAAAAGCGACTGACAAAGATCTCGCGCTATGGGGCCTGTGGTGTTCAGCGGAGCAGCTGCGATTCCATCCCGGGGAGGGCAGGGCACCTCCACACGTACATGAACAGTCTCAGCCAGCAGGGGGCAGTGTACACACACACACCCACACACACACACTCACTTAATCTCCTTCGACTGTACGATCTTTGGGGCAGGGACTGTCTTTTTGTTCTGTTTGTACAGCCTCGTTCGCTGGTCCGTGCCCGCCCCACTCTACACACGCCGAGTTATTTCAGACTCCTGCACGTGCCACCTCTGGGCACAATGGCACATTCAGCTTTTCTTACAGCCACCAGCTGAATTATTTTAAAGGACTTTTTCTTTCACCCATTCATTAAAACAGGAATAAGGAGGGAAACCTCCGCCCCCCCCCATTTTAAACAATAAAGGCCCTCAGTGCAGCCGGTGCATCAACAGGCAGGAATGTCAGACATGTGCTTGTGGTCTAGAACGGCTGGTTTTTTATGGCCAAGGCTCTTTTTAATGGACTCTTTCAGGGAGCCTGGTGTTCATTTCGGGTGGCTGGCAGCTCTGAGCGCTGGATACGTTCTCTGTGGGAACAGGCCCCAGATCTTTGCATAGCTGGGGGGGTCTTTTCAGTTGACTCCCCCTCCTAGCCCAATGCATGGCAAGTTTTCTTTACACGCAGCTCTCCGGCGCTGGGCCCATATGGGCAGCTTCCGCCCCATCTGTTCTCTGGGAGCCGTTCAGGGTAATTGAAGTAGCAGGCCTAGGACATAAAAACAGTCTGGCAGGCGCGTGCGGAAGGGTGAGCCTGTGAACTTGACGCTGGGAACGAACAGTTCCGGGGGTCCCGGCACTAGGCATGCCAGGCTTGGTTTGAATGATCCTCCAATTCGGGGGGGCCGGGACCTCAGGCCGTGCCGGGGTAGGGGTGGGGGTGTTCTTGTGAAACCAAGGTTGGTCACATCCCCAGTTTGGGGCACAATGGGACTCAAGGCAAGGTGCGTTCCAAGTCTCCTTGTGTCGTCATTTGCACCAGTGCGAACACAGGCGAGAACGGCTGCCCTTGCACTCTGCTTGTGTTTCGCGCTCACTTTGCACTGGTGTCAACGAGGACAGAGGAGATGGAGCCTTCAAAGCCCTGCCCCAGCATGCCCTGGGCTCAGGGCCAAACCCAGCTTGGGTTCCCTGGAGGGTCACGTCTGCCCCCAAGTAGGACTCAGCAGTGGGGGGGCTGCAGGTGGTGATCCCCCCCTTTCCCTACCAGATGTGTTCTCCAGGCAATGCACAGGGCAGGGTGGGGGAGCTCTCCTGGCGGGTCCGTTTCCAGGGCTGGTGGGCAGCCTCTGCCGCTGGCTCAGGATTCTCCGTGCAGCACCCTGCACATGGAGGAACTGCTGCCTGATGGGGTCACTGGGGTCTGCACCCCCAGATGCTGGGTGGAGCGAGTGGGGCGCCTGGAGCCCCTGCTCCAAGAGCTGCGGTAGCGGTGGGAAGCGAGTCCGGCATCGGAGCTGCAAGAAATCCAAGAGGTCCCACTGCGTCGGCCGCCCCTCGGACGTGCAGAAATGCGCCCGGACACCCTGCTCAGGTACTGGCTGTGCCAGGGCTCCCTCCCTGGGCCGCCCACAGCAAGGGGGGCCAGGGTTTGGGGGGCAGGTCATGCCTGACCTGCATTTTGGGGTATCTGGCAGGGCATTTCAGGGTATCTGTCCAGGAAGGGCGGGGAACTGTTGTTCTTCAGGACAGCCCAAAAATCCCCTGGATTTGTGAATTGGGTTGAGATGGTTGGGACCCGAGCTCAGCCCCTTGTCCGTTATTACCCTAGGTCCTACTCCATTCATCTATCCATCCATCCATTCATCCATCTATCCATTCATTCATTCATCCATCTATCCATTCATCTATCCATCCATTCATCCATCCCATCTAGCCAGCCAGCCAGTCCAGCCACTCACCCAGGTCCACGTCTCTCTCCCTTTGTTTTCCCCTCAGCTCTGAGGGGAATTTGAAATCTCTCACTTTTCAGATCTTGCCCAAACCTGTGTGTAAGAAAGGCAGGACTGTTATGACCCAGCAAGTGAGCTCCCCCCTCATCCCCATTCTCTCCCCACCCCACCCCGTTTCTTCTCTGTCCCAATCTCTCTCCCCTCCCTGCGGCCCTGGGGAAAGCAGAACCACCCTAGGAAGCTCAGATGCCCAGAGGGTGGGGGTGATAGCAGGGGGAAACACCTGCCCTGTTGCCACGGAGCAGAGCCCAGCGTTCCCCACTCCGGGACTTAGAGACAGGCCTGAACCCAGCTCCGAGCAGCACAGGCCCAACCGGGGGGCGTGCGCCCCACCTCTCCCCAGGCCCCGCCACCACCACCCTGGCATCCCAGCCATGGGTCTCCTTTAAGCACGAGCTGCCTCTTGTTCCCAGTGACGTACAATGGCCAGCTGGCTGGGCCACCTTGTTCCACTCCTGGCATATTCCCCAGGATCATTGGGTGAAAGTGCCTGGGAAGGGCTGATCCTCCCTTGGAAGGGTCAGGAGCCCTGTTGCTACCACCTGGATATTTTGGGGAGGGTGATGGGTCCCGTAGGCCCAACTCAGAGCCCCGAGGGTCCCCATTCCTGCTCTGTCCTGGTGGGGTGGGGTGGGGGGCCTAGAGTGTTCCACTCTCATTGCATTCGCCTCTGTCCCCCCTCAGCCTGCCAAATGAGCTGCACCGAGGGCAAGGTGAGCAAGAACTGCAGCAGTTGCACGTGCCAGGACCACACCCTGGTGGGCACCGTCCTGAGCACCGAGGGGGCTGCCCTCGCCAATGCCCGGGTCTCCCTCAAGGCCAAGCCACAGGCCGTGCTGGCCAGGACTGACCGCCGGGGCGGCTTCAGCATCCGGGGGGTCTGTGCCGGCAGCGGGGCCAATGTCAGCGTCCAGCTGGAGACGTTCGCCCCGGGCGAGGCTCCGATTGTCTCCAACGGCTCCAGGACATCGTCGGTGCAGGTCACGCTGCAGAGGCTGGGTGAGGGGCCCTGCCCGGTGTATGGGGCAGTCCCATGTCCACCTCTAGGGACTGCTCCACTTGGAGGGGAACAGCCTGCTACTGCTGCCAGCTAACGGGGTTGCTCTTTGAGCTCTAGTGGCTAGAGGTCTGCACTGCAGGGATGAAGGCCCCAGGTTCAAGCCCTGCTGGTGACCCATCTGGGAGGGTTGCTACAAAAAGAATCCCTTGAAGCACAGGATCCCCCTGACTGAAGGCGCCATGAGCCTTCTTGGGGAGCTGACAGCGAGTGTGTGTGTGTGGGGGGGGTAAGACAGAATTGGGGGGAGCCGGGAGCTGGATTCTGGGCAGACTCAGGGCCTGATTCCTGAGTGAGGTAGAACACGGGGGGTGGGGTGGGAGCAGGTGGGGGGAGGGGAGCGGAGTAGTGGTGTGGGAGGGTGGTTGTTCCTATTGCTGGGGCATCGTCACCTTTTCTGCTCCCCCTCTGTCCGGCAGAGAAGCCCTACGTGGTGAAGCACCCGGAGTCCAAGGTGCGGGTGGCAGGCCAGCGCGTGACTCTCTGCTGTGAAGCCTCCGGCACCCCCCGGCCCACGAAATATTACTGGTGAGTTGCAGGAACAGGACGAGCCAGCCCTTGGCCACCACCGTCGGCCTTGGGGAAAGACCTGGGTTTGCCCCCGGCTTAGACTGGCCTCCCAGACCGAGGTGGGGGCAGTGTTGTAGGACAGGAATAGCAGGGGAAGGGGCTGCAGGTCGGGAGTGAGGGGCACCGGCACAGCTGTGTGCAGGAACCCTGCATTTCACCAGCCTGTCCCGTGTCCCATTCTTGTCGGCAGAACCAGCTTTAACGTTCAGACAGCAGCATGAGTGTGTGTGTGTGTGGGAGGTTGTGTGTTAGGGGTGTGGGGGATTGTGTGTGCATGGGGCTTAAGTGTGTGGGTAATGGGAGGATGAGGGGTGGGAGGTTGTGGGGGGGTGGGGTTGGAGCGGTGATGGGTGTTATGGGGGGGCTAAAAGGGGGTTGGGTGTGTCAGGAGGGGGGGTTATGTGGGGGGGTGTTGTGGGGGGGGGTTAAGGGATGGGGGGTTGTGGGGGTGTGCATGGAAGGGATGGGTCTGTGCATACAGGGGAAACTCCTCCAGGAGCCGACTGAGCAGCAGGCTTGACCCGATGCTCCAGCCCCGCCAGTTGCTGACGCTCTCTGCTTGCCGGTCTCCTGCAGGTACCACAACGGGACGCTCCTGGACAGGAAACTCCACAAATACAACAGCAGCTTGGTGCTGCAGGACCTGGGGCTGCGCCAGGCCGGATTCTATCACTGCAAAGCCAGCACTGACGTGGGCTCCATCAAATCCTCCCCTGCATTCCTGACTGTGACTGGTGAGTCCCGGGGCAGCTGTGCCCCCTGCGGGGCAGCGCTGGGCAGGAGACCAGATCGCTACCCCCAGCTCACCCCGGTCGGCCATTGCACTAGCTGTCTTGGGGAGAGCTGGGGACAGAATCTCCTCCAGTCCTGAAGGCCACTGATCGAAAGGCCATTGACTCTGGTTAGAGACTGTCCAATGATGCCAGTGGGGGCTGGATCAGCGCCCAGGCTGCCCTGAGGGTAGAGTCTCAGGCCCTGAGAGGGGCAAGAAGCAGGGGGCAGCTGTGGTGGCCACCTGGGCCTGAACCCAGCACCAGCACAGCCAGAACCGGGAGCTGCTGCAGGATGAGCTGGAGCTTCCGGCTAGGCTGTGACGTGCTCCTGTCCTGGGGGGGGCTGTCACCTACGCTCCCCAGCAGCTGAGACTGGGGCTTGCCCCAGGGCTACTTGAAGCTGCCAGGCCTTCACCCAGCCTGGTTTATTATTGTAGGGTTGCTTCTGCCACTGGATCCCAGGTCAGACACTCAGCAGCATGGGGGCTGGCTGCCCAGAGGGATTGAGGAGGGGGTGGCGGGGCAGGGGCAGGCCCTAGCAACCGTACTCAGGGTGAGCAGTGCTTTACTCCTTGCTGTAGAAGGAGCCGGGTCAGGGAGGGGGTATCTGGTGCTTGGTGGGGGAGAGACCACTGTGTTTGGCATCTCGGGTAACGGTCAAGCGCGGTGGAGGAATTTCGTCTCACAGCCCCTGACGTGACTTGTCTCTTCTCTCCCCGGCTCAGCCCAGGGGCAGCCGAGCTGCAAGGCCGAGCCGGAGGAATATCTCATCAAGCTGCCCAGCGAGTGCTTCCAGGAGGCCGGGCGCTCTCCATACTACAATGTGGGGCGTTGCCCCGACATCCGCTGTGCTGGGAGCCTGAAGGATGAGCTGCAGTGCCGGGACGGGGCAGGACGCTGCTGCAGGGTCCGGCGAATGGAGGTGCGGGAGATCCAGTGCGCCGGCTCCATCCTGCCCATCAAGGTGGTGGCCGAGTGCGGCTGTGAGAGGTGCGCCCGGCCCAAGATCCTGGTGCACGGCAGGGTGACGGCAGCTGACGACGGAGAGCCGCTGCGCTTCAGCCAGATCTTCCTGGGCAAAGAGAAAATTGGCTTCACCAGCTACAAGGGCACCTTCACCATTGATGTGCCCCCGGACACGCGGCGGCTCGTGGTTCGGTTCGTGGACCGGCTGCAGAAGTTTGTGGACACGGTCAAGGTCCTGCCCTTCGACCCCCGGGGCGGTGCCATCTACCAGGACATCAAGGTGATGCGGAAGAAAGAGCCAGTGGATCTGGACCCCACACAGGCCAATATCATCCTGCTGGGGGAGCTGGAGGGCCAGGAGCCGGTGGGGGAGATGGTTATACCAGCTGGCTCCTTCCTCCGGCCCGACGGGGAGGTGTACAATGGCACCGTCAAGGCCAGCGTGACCTTCCTGGACCCCCGGGACGTCACCACGGTGGCTGCTGCCTCCAGTGACCTCAACTTCATCAATGCCGAGGGGGATCTCGTCCCGCTGAGGACCTACGGCATGTTCTCCGCGGACTTCCGGGAGAGCGAGTCCAACCAAGTGCTGCGGACGGGCCGGGTGGAGGTGCGGGTAGACGCGGAGCAGATCCGCATGCCCGAGCACCTCCAGAAGATGAAGCTGTGGTCCCTGAACCCTGAGACAGGCCTGTGGGAAGAGGAAGGCGCCTTCCGCCGGGCCAAGGAGCGGCGGGGCAAGCGAGAGGAGAGGGCCTTCTTGATCGGCAACGTGGAGATCCGCGAGAGGCGGCTCTTCAACCTGGACGTGCCCGAGAGCCGCCGCTGCTTCGTCAAGGTCCGGGCCTATGGCAACGAGAAGTTCATCCCCAGCGAGCAGCTGGAGGGAGTGGTCGTCACCCTCATCAACCTGGAGCCCGAGCCCGGCTACTCCTCCAACCCCCGAGCCTGGGGGCGCTTCGACAGTGTCCTCACCGGGCCCAACGGGGCCTGCTTGCCTGCCTTCTGCGATGGCCAGCGGGCAGATGCCTACACGGCCTACGTCACCGCCACCATGGGCGGGGAGGAGCTGGAGGCCGTGCCCTCCAGCCCCAAGCTCAACCCCAACGCCGTGGGAGTGTCCCAGCCCTACCTAAACAAGCTGGGCTACCGCCGGACGGACCATGACGACCCCAGCCTCAAGAAGACAGCCTTCAAGATCAACCTGGCCAAGCCCAACCCCAACAACATAGATGAGGTCAACGGGCCCATCTACGCCTACCGGAGCCTGAGGGAGTGTGAGGAGGCACCTGTTGACGCCAACCACTTCCGCTTCTACCGGGTGGAGGTGGACAAGTACGAGTACAACGTCGTGCCCTTCAAGGAGAGCGACCTGGCCTCCTGGACCGGGGACTACCTGTCCTGGTGGCCCAACCCCCAGGAGTTCAGGGCCTGCTACATCAAGGTGAAAATCAGTGGGCCCCAGGAATACATGGTGAGGTCCCGGAGCGTGGGCGGCAGCCACCCCCGGACACGTGGCCGGCTGTACGGCCTACGGGACACCCGCAGCGTCCGGGACCTGGAGATCTACAACAGCTCTGCTGCCTGTGTGGAGTTCAAATGCAGCGGGATGCTCTTCGACCAGAGCCTGATTGACCGCACCTTGGTCTCCATCGTCCCTCAGGGCAGCTGCCGCCGCACCGCCATCAACAGCCTCCTGCGAGAGTACCTGGGCCGCCACCCGCCGGTGGTGGAGAACAACGACACCACGGTCTTCAACATGCTGGCGCCGGTGGACCCGCTGGGCCACAACTATGGCATCTACACGGTCACCGACCAGAACCCCCGGCTGGCCAAGGAGATCGCCATCGGCCGGTGCTTCGACGGCACGTCGGACGGCTTCTCCCGGGAGATGAAGTCTGACATGGGCACGGCCATGACCTTCTACTGCCAGGAGAAGCCCGTCACCCATCAGAGCTTCTTCCAGCGCCTGCTCAGCTCGCCCACAGACACCCTGACCGAGATCCGCCGCGAGATGAGAGGCAACGAGCAATTGCGGGCTCCCTCCCAGGTGGTGGCCTACCCCGCTGGCCTCAGGACCGGGGTCTCCACCCAGACCCGACGGACCCCCAGCAGCCGGAGAAGGATGGGCCTGATCCGGGCTCAGCAATGAGCAGCACCAGTGCTGCTGCCCCCCAACGCACACATGCCCCCCCACACCCCCACTCTGGTTTAAAGGCCCTTTCACAACATGCCCTGGGGTCCCCAACGCAGAGCACCACCTCGCCCCCAATCCGAAACCGTCCCCCCTCCCAAGTCACTGTCCCCCATGGCTTCTCCCTAAACTCTGCTAGTGCCAGCAGGGGGCGCCAACCCACAGACTTTCCTCGCATGAAGTGTCGGTGGGGGCGGGGGACCCTTGTTCCCGATCACTAGAAAAATCAGCTGAGATGGGAGAAGCACCTCGTGGCTGGGAGCGGAGCCCAGAGCGGGACAGTCAGCATCCGTTGCTGGTCTCTCCAAACTGACTCCTCCCTGCTACGTTCTCTCTGTCCCCCTGGTAACATCCCATGCCTGGGGCTCTCAATGGCCCTGCTCTAGCGCGGGCCGGGTAGGGCTGCTGCCCGGTGTTATCCAGCCGCCTGAGCTTCCCAGCATTCATGCAGTTAGCTCAGCCCCACACATCTGCTCCCAAACCCTGCTTTGCCCCCTGCCCCACCATAGGTGCAGCTTGATGTCTGTGTTTGGGGTGCAGCACCAGTCTGGCCAGTGGGGCTGTGCATGGAGGGGCAAATGCTGCACCTGCCCTCAGGCTTTCAGTTTGGGGGGGGCAATGCCCCCCATTCACTCCTCCCAGACTATGCCCGTGCTCCCCACCGCTTGCACCATGCACCTGCCAGATCCAGAGGGTGGTTTCTGTGCTGCCAAGCCCCTAAGCTGCTCCCTGCTCTGAAACTGACTAGAAACAAACCTGAAACTGACCAGCAGCCCCCGTTTTCAGGTTGGGAAAGTGAACAATACAGAGAAGCAAATTAGATATTTTTACATGCTTCCTGTGTTAATATTAACGATCTAAAGGGTGATGAGTGCCGCAGATAAGGAAATCCATAGCCACTGGGCCGGACAGCCTCCTCTTCAAGTAGAAAATGCTTCCATTTGGGTCAGTGCAGAGCAGGCCAGAAATGAAACCCCATGGGATGTGTTAAAAGGAAAGGAAAAAAACCAGGAATTTGGCATCCATTTCATAGTGTCCCCCCATCCTCCCTGCCTGGGTACGGAAAGCAGTAGAATTATAAAGCAAAGCAAACGGAGTCTCCCCTAGAATAGAACACAGTACCCCTCGATACGGGCTTCTCTACAGCATCACTGGCAGTTAAGGCACCAGGCCATTTTTTCAAGCAATCTTTTCTTTGGTGGGAGGGCCACAAATTAAAACCAAAATTATTTTCTTTCCTAATTTCCTATGGGTTGGATGGGTAAAATACGTCCTCCCAGCATTTGATAATGACGTTCCTCCCCTCTGGAAAAGAGGGGAAATTAAGAAAAAGTGTGTAGGGGAAAAAAATCCCACTTGGCAAACAGACCCTGAGCAGGTGTCCACACCAGAACTGGATACAGCACATACCACCCGTGGACTCGCTGCCCCAGACAACCTTAATGCGCAGTGATTTGCAAATTTCCGGCCTTGTGTCCATAGCACCCTGCTCAACCAGGGACCATCCCACACCAGAGCCAGCAGCTCTGCTTGGCTGGCTCCAGGCCAGTGTTGGTCCATGGAACAGTTCAGTGCAATTGGCCTGAATTAATGCAAGGGCCTGTCCACCAGCCTGGCTGCTCCTGATGTGTCGAGACACAGGGGCAGGGTTCTGCTAGGGATAACGGTCTGTGTAGGTCAGTCTGGTTTGCCAAGGCATGTCGATAAATTGTGTAGATTTGTACATTATTTATTATAAAATATATGGCTGTGTTGTCATCAGTCTGGATGAGGTGTGTCCCTGGTTGTGCCGCGTGCAGCATCGGCCCAAGCTGAGCTGGAGCCGGGGCTGGAACGCAGGTATCGGCCATGGCCATTGTGTGTGCTCGTTTTCTCTCTCTCAGCAAAACTGCTCGGCCCTGGCTCCCTCTTGTTAAGTATTTCCCAACCCATGGCTCGGCCCAGCCGGAACTGAAGGAACCTGAGTGCCTGCATGGCACAAAGCTGTAAGCCGTGCAGTGACGCTGGCTCAAGGGAGGCAATTATGGTACCGCTCTTAGAGGGCTGATTGGGCTGTAGAGTCCATCTCCCTGGGCTCCTCAGAACCACCCGTTCACCAGCAATCCAACCTCCCCCTCACCCGCCCGTTCACCAGCAATCCAACCTCCCACCCGTTCACCAGCAATCCAAACTCCCGCTCACCCCGCATTCACCAGCAATCTAACCTCCCACCCGTTCACCAGCAATCCAAACTCCCGCTCACCCGCCCGTTCACCAGCAATCCAACCTCCCGCTCACCCGCCCATTCACCAGCAATCCAACCTCCCACCCGTTCACCAGCAATCCAACCCCCCGCTCACCTCACAGTCAGACGTGACTCTTAGCCGGCCAGTAAAACAGAGGTTTATTAGACGACAAGAACACGGTCTAAAACAGAGCTTGTAGGTACAAAGAACAAGACCCCTCAGCCGGGTCCATTTTGGGGGGCAGTGAGCCAGACAACCACATCTGCACTTCACTCCTCGTCCCCAGCCAGCTCCCAACTGACTCACTCTCCACCCCCTCCTCCTCTCGGCTTTGTCCTGTTCCCGGGCCAGGAGCTCACCTGATTCCTTTGTTCTCCAACCCTTTGGCTCTCACCTTGCAGGGGGGAAGGGCCCAGGCCATCAGTTACCAGAAGACAGAGTGTCGGCCATTTATGTACCCTGGCCCTTTGCTCTGCAACAATTACACCCGCTTATCCCACCACCTAGAGACTTAAGAAATACATAGGAGAAACTGAGGCACCCCTACAGTATTCAGAGGAAACATTAAGAACAGTCCCACTTTGTCACAACCTTATCTATCTACCTATCTATCTATCTTCATACACCCCCTATATCTAATCTAATCTCCATATACACCCTGCTCTCTCTCTCTCTCTCTCTCTCTCTCGCGGCCCTGTTCCTGGGACTAGCCTTGCTTTGCTCCCCCCACCCATCAATCCCATTCAGACACACAGCTCCCATGAGAGCATCAATCTGTGCCCCCCACCCCTGCTCCACGCCGCCCAGCTAGCAAGCTCTAAACCCAGCCATCCCTTGAGTCAAGGTGTGGCTCTGGCTAAATGTTTCCACTGTCCAAAGGACCCAGAAGCTGTGCCATGAATGGGCTGAACAGCCAATGCCCAAGTAACCAGCCGCACAAGGTTGGCATGCCAGATACCAGTGGCTGGAGAACCTGGTACTAGACTGCCAGAAAAATAGCTGTGTTCCCTTCAGCACCCTCTGCTGGCAGCTCTGAATGCGTTACGCTGCCACCTGTCGTGGAGGTGGAGAGGCAGACTTCTCACCCGGCCCGGGTCATGTTGGCAAAGGCTAGTGCCACCAGCCAAAGCATGGGACCTGCATGTCATCACCGAAGCGCCCAACACAGCCAGAACTGTGCAGCTTCGGAGGACTTGGTTCAATCCGGCACCAAAGGGGTTAACACAGAAGCACAAAAACCGGTGGTGGCATTTAATTAAAGTGCCTTAATTGTGCTGGATTTAATTGCATGGGAGCCTGGCTCTGGCCTAACTGGGGTGTAATTTGAACTGGAGCCTGGATTCTAAATTCACAATTTGGGGCTTGGCTGTTTCTACGGCGCCTAGGAACAAAGCTCCAGCTGACTGAGCCGAGGGGTGGTGTAATTGGGAGTGAATGCGGCAGCCTGGAGGCCTGCCCCCAATGTCACTGGCTGATGGGGAGGCTAAATGCCTGCTGCTGCCTGAAAAGCTCATTCAAATTCCTAGTCGGTGCCTTGGTCCGGGAGCCGAGGGGCTCGTGTGCCGCGGGCCACGCAAGGGGGCATGCTGCTATATTATACCCTGGGCAAGTGTGTAGCAGCCAAGATCTCAAAGCACTGGAGAAGCAGCAGCATCCCCGTAATGTCACAAGCGTCTCGCTCTGCTGCGTCCCCGCAGGCCACAGGAAGAAACAGAGACAGCGGCCTCCAGGGCTTGCAGACGCACGAAGTACACCTGCTTATGGGCCAGAGCTTGCCCCTCATGCCCGTGTGGAGAAGTGTGACGTTAAGGACCTTTTCATGGGAATAAGGGTGACAGAACTGGGCCTGATATCATTATATCACTGGCTTCGATCTACACAGGATCATAAACCCAGCGTTGCCTCAGTCCAGGGGTTGGGAAGTTGCAGGGGCTATTTCCGGCTCTGACACTAATTTACTGGGTGACTTTGGGCAAGTCACTTGCCCACTCTCTGCCTCAGTTTCCCCCTCTACAGAGCAAGGATAGCACCAGTGGCTCACGTCCCAAAGAGTTTATTAGTTTGCCAGCAGCTGACAGTTCTGGGAGGCATCGGCTTGTTACTGGCTTCTGAGGGGGACTGGGATGTTGATAAAGCTTCAAAGAAAAAGAAATGGACCAATTTCTGCCTAAGTCTCCTTGTGTTTATAGATCGAAAAACACCTTCTCTTCACGGGACGATGTTTTCCCTTTTAAACATGGTTTGGCCGGTCTGGAGCATTTTTCTGGCCTGACTCTCCATGCTGCCCTTTGCCAGATCAAAGGGGATGGGGCAGCCAGTGGGGACGAGGTAAACAATTCCCAAAGGTTTCAGAGTAGCAGCCGTGTTAGTCTGTATCCGCAAAAAGAACAGGAGGACTTGTGGCACCTTAGAGACTAACCAATTTATTACAGCATGAATCGGATGAAGTGAGCTGTAGCTCACGAAAGCTTTTGCTCTAATAAATTCCCAAAGCTGCCTCTTAATGCTTTTAAAAGTAAAGGTGCGGGGCCGGGCCAGGTCACCTCAGCCGGCTGCCACGTCATTACTGCTCAGAGGAAGCCATTCGCACGGCATTTCGTTGGCCCAGGCAGCTACCCGCCGTGTTCTCGAGTGCCAGCTACTTGGCGCTCATCTGTGAACTACCTGGGGGTACCTATATACAGGCGGCCGTGTCTCAGTCCTGGAGCACCCCAAGTACAGCTGGCCTGGCAGCTGCAGGAGAGACACCAGGGAGGGGCCTAATCAAAGCCGCTGCACACATTGTGTTTGGTTAATGACCACAACAGCACCTCATGCTTTGCAGCTGCAGGCGATAATGCGCACCGCTCAGTGAGCCCATACCATGCCTGTACCGACCCAGCCCTCCCAAGCTTTGAGAGGTTTAGCCACATGGCTGCCCCGAGCAGCAGGGAAGTGTCATGATCCCCATTATACAGAGGGGGAACACAAGACGAAGGGCCAGAGTATCAAAGGTGTTTAGGCACCAAAAGCTGCAGAGCGGCGCCAACTGGGATTTGGAAAGCCCCCGCGCCCCATTGAAATCCAGCCTGCAGTGCCTTGCTGCAAGGTGACCTAGGCAGGCGAGGGCGGAGCAGGGAGTCAAACCTGGCTTGCTCCAGCCCCAGGCAAGTAGGGTAAACACTGGATGACTCACAACGACCTCCCTAGCTCCTTGGAGAGCGCTAGGCCCCTGACTTCCCATGGCAAGGAGCGAGCAGACTTAAAGAAGGCTGTTTATTTTTTCTCATGGAGAAAGATTCTTATAAATATCTTGCAAAAAATTTTGAGCCAGTGGAGCTGAGCTATCTGACTTGGATCGTCAGCCGAACAATTCACATGCTTGCCTTAGACCACCCCCCCCCCCCCCCCACACACACACGCCAAAGGAATTGCATGCAGTGAGGGGCCATTCTGCACCATGTAGTAACTCTCTGCAAGGCTCAGCTCGACCAGGGGTTTTCCTCCAGGTGCATGGAGAACGTGACTTTTATTAAGGTAATGTGGGCACCAGAGCAAGACTTGTCCTGTCAATCCATCACCCCTACTTCTCCAGAGTTTGCCTTGCCCGGTTGATGCCAGGTTGGTTAGAGGGGGTCCTGTAAGAGCTCTGCACTGAACCAGGGGAGGTTTGCAGCACCCTGTGTCTGTCGGAGCAGTGCTGGTGTGTCATAAACATACAGCTAAGGGGAGCATAAACTCCCTCCTTTACCTATAAGGGGTTAAGAAGCTCAAATGACCTGGTTGGCACCTGACCAAAAGGACCAATAAGGGAAGAAGATCCTTTCAAATCTGTGGGGGGAGGTTTTTTTCATTTGTGGTCTTTTGTTGTTCTCTCCAGGACAGAGAGAGACCAGGGCAGAAAAAAAAAAACCCTCTCCTAAAACCCTACCGGAAATAAGCATCTAAATTACAAAAATTGTAAATAAAGCAAGGAAATGCGTTAGATTATCTTTTGTTTTAGCTTGTGAATTTTCCCTATGTTAAGAGGGAGGTTTAGTCCTGATTTTTGTAACTTTAAAGTTTTGCCTAAAGGGGAATCCTCTCTGTTTTAAATCTTATTACCCTGTAAAATTATCTTCCATCCTGATTTTACAGAGGTGCTTCTTTTACTTTTTCTTTATAATAAAGTTCTGTTTTTAAAAACCTGGTTGGTTTTTAGTGTGCTAAAAACCCAAGGGTCTGGTCTGTGCTCACCTTGGTTATTTGGTTGGTATATTATTCTCAAGCCTCCCCAGGAAAGGGGGTGAAGGGGTTTGGGGGGATATTTTGGGGAAACAGGAACACCAAGTGGTCCTTTTCCTGAATCTTTGTCTAACTTACTTGGTGGTGGCAGCGATACTGTCCAAGGGCAAGGCAGAATTTGTGCCTTGGGGAAGTTTTTAACCTAGACTGATAGAATTAATCTTAGGGGGGTCTTTCATTTGGGTCCCCACATCTATACCCCAGGGTTCAGAATGGGGAGGGAACCCTGACAGGGTGTCAGAGAGGGGCTCTCCCCCAGGTTCCCCGCCATTT